AAGAAGCTCGATCCTTCAACGTGGGATCGACATCGGCCCCCAGAACTCATCTCGACAGAAATTAATTTGCTAGGCATCGCGATTATGGCTTACAGCCTTACCGGGTTCGAGACTCCAGCAGCCATCGTGATCTCACCACCAAAGTCCCTTTCACGTCAACGTTCTTCAACTTAAATAAGATGTTGCCATTCCTCATCCTCAACTACCACAAACCAACACAGCCTCAAGCTTCTAGCAAACCATTACATTCTTTCTCAGGACCATAGTCCTTGCTTTCCCTCTTTTATTAGCCTCTTACGCCACGGTTTAAGCATTAACCATGAAGACTTCTGCCACTCTTTTGGCCTTTGTGGCCGCCGCTTCCAATGCCTCGCCTCTTGGTGTCTCCGTCAAGCGAGATGCCTTTGACAGCAAGGATGCCATGTGCAAAGGATCGGATCTTACAACTCCCGAGGGCGCTGACAAGCTCTGGGAAGACACCTACGCCGGAGCATCTCTTGACCTCTTCATCAAGTCTCAGTGGGGTAAGTGTTCAACTGTTTTTCTCGACATGAACTTCAATTTTAATGAAATCCTTGCGGGCAGAACACGAGAACTCTTGGGTGAAGAACCTCGAAGACTTAGTTTCAGGTGGCACATCGGGCAAGTCCGGTGCTGCCGGCTGCTCAGCTCTTGGAAACGAGTGTAAGCCGTTGAATGACATGACCTGCGATGCCCAATACGACGCATACGGCAAGACCCCTATTGGAAAGAACTCCTACTGGATCTTCCAGGCGGTCAAGGGCATGCATGCCAAGTTCAACGAGCTGAACCGCCAGCTCACCAAGGAGACTCTCATCAGCGGACTGCAGATTGGCCAGATGGTGACCGACTTCCAAGGAAACCAGGACGACCCTGGCGACGTCCTTGGTTGGCTTTCCGCCGCTGCTTCAATGGGTGGTGCTATCGGTGGTCTGGTTCCTGGAGCTGTAAGTGTGCCAATCTCTGAAGAGCCTGTAATGTTTTCAGGACTCTTGCTAACGCATTGCTGCCACAGGGAACTGCCATCGCTGGTGGCTTCGGCATGCTCAGCGCCATCTTCTCCGGACTGGCTGCCTCCAACAGCGCCGACGAGATCGATCAAGGATCAATTTCGGCCGCCCTGGCTGACGCTTTTAAGCAAGCCACTGGTGCCCTCGAGAACACCCTCCGCATCGCCACCGGCGGCGGCACTAGCCAGGCGGAGTACGACTCGCTCCCGGCCCCGAAGTGGGACACCTTCCAGAGCAAGATCACAAAGTTCTACAATGGCGGCTGGTTCCTCGTCGACGACGACGAGCAGGCCGTCACTGTCGCCCTCCAGTCCATCAGCAACAACATCAAGCCCAAGGTCGCCAACGACGTCATGAGCGCCGCCAAGCTTTACCTCGTCGCTGACAAGCGCGACAACGTCAAGACTCGCGAGGCCTGCGGATATGCTACGGGACGCCAGTGGATGGCGCTGCGGGATGGCGAGGAGTACTGCTTCTACATCATGCGCAACAACCCCAACCCGGGCCCTGACAACGACTGGGTCGAGGTTGAGTCCGATATCTACGACAAGATGGCCTCGTACGGACTCGGCAACCGTGATGCGTACTACCGCGCCATCATTGACTGCGCGCTTAACGGTGGAGATGACAAGGATAAGGTTGACTTGAGCAACTTGGCTTGGGGCAAGGTTCCTACGTGCTACTTCAACCTACCAGCAATGTTCATCGACAAGGATACCAAGACTGGCTGCGGTAGCCCCTTTGACAAAGCGGACTGCAACTACATCGCTGCCACCCCGATCTCTTAGATGACTGCAGCGACAGGAATCGTGTTTCTTCTCCCCAGATACCAAGTTTTCTCTTATCGTGTACTATGCTTCCAACTCTGTATATACATGTATCTTATTATCTCAGTTCAACAATTGCCTAATAACAAAGTTCAAACATCAAGTGAGCTCTCTAAATCCTGAGAGCCTCTCTCATTTGCATCATTCTTTCGATATCCCCATATCGGACTCATGAAACCGATTTGACGCATCTATAAATTTCCGAGCTTTGAATAGTTCCGTCGAGGAGAGCCCGGCTCCGCATTCCCCTTGAGATGTGTAATGGAAACTGTCTACGCTTAGGGGCATCTAGGTGACTCTGTATACGAGGTTGAGGTGGAGCCTTTACAATAAATACCAGAGGATATACAATTGATTAGTCAGTGGATCAAGTAAAGTGCGAAGTCATTCGAATCTGGGCTAATTCAGTTTGCCATGGGCAGAAAGATAGGCTCTCTCGGAAAGAAAGCAGACATGTGCCCGTTTTGCGACGTCTTTGAGCTCTTAATCCTGAAAAGACCAAGTTGCCTTTCAAGAAATGTATTTGGCAGCTCGGAAAATTAAGACACAGCAAGTTATAATAAGGGCATTATGCGCTTCAAGTCATATGTGACTCGTCAACAGGTAATCCATTGTTCATGGGTCTGCAACCCCTAGCACAAATCCCGCATGCCATCATGAGCTGCAGCCAAAGCCTAATTATCAATTCTTTTCTAGGATATTACCTCCCAAGTCAAATCCTTGGCTGAAAGTTCCCTGAATCAGTAGAGCTTAGTCATGTGCCCAGACTTCGTCATTCTCCACACGTTGAGTCTCAACGTGAAGTACGGAAAAAGCTTTGGCCTCAGTTCAGAACAAGGCCAAGCCCAGACGGACCATCCCGCCTGACCTCCGGAGCCCGGGTCCTTCCCCGCGAAACAGCTCTGATCAATGTGGAGGAGAGACCAAATTGACTCTGTCAACCTTGCTTTTGGGTGCTTTTGGTTGTTTCCATGTACGAGATGCCAAGCATCGCCAACCTATCAGCTCAGTCTGTTCGTTGCTGAGCGTGTATCATTACGTAAAACTGGCACTTCCGTGCGTTTCCCTTCCCCTCAGCTGCCTCTCCATTGTCTGCGCTTCAACAGAGTTTAACGGAACCACAGAACTCTACCATGTAACGCGACATGACATCCCAAGATGCCCCGTGACCTCCGTGCTGAGGGTGGCCCGGTGGGAGGTGCTGCACTGGGCTTGGACGACATCACCACGCGTCTCGCCTAGATACTAATGTTGTTCACCAACTTTCTCTATTCTGCTCAGCGGGATTCATCTCTCTTCCTCACAATCAACCAAAACGGACAAACATGGAGTTCAAAAACTTGGCTCTTCGGCCAGCTGCTGCGGTAGACGCATACGACAGTGATATGGACAGCGAATGGGTTCAAACACCGCCAGAAGACGCATTTACAGATGAAGACGAGATTCAAATAGACTCGACGGGAGATCTACTGCTGCAAGTCGGCTCTGATTCATCCACCGGTACCACCAAATCATTTCGCGTCTGTTCAAACACATTACGACGAGCATCGCCATTCTGGAGGCGCACACTCATTGAGACATTGTCAGAGACTCAGCCGGCCGACGAGGAGTGGTGCGGATGGACTCCATCGCTGTATGCCTGCCAGCACGACAAGGCGGACGGATTGATGATCCTGCTCAATATCATCCATGCAAGATTCTCACTCATACCGAAGGACCCCAGCCTCACGGAAATTTACCACACTCTTTGTCTGGCAAGCTTGTATGAGATGGAGCACGTCTTTCAGCCGTGGATTGCGCAGTGGTACAGTATGATGAAGGCCTCTGAGAGCACCAGAGACGGCCGGGATCTGGCGATGCTGTCGTGCATTGCCTGGGCATTGGGCGATGAGAAACTGTTTGCGAGGACCATCATCAAAATCAGCCTTACCTGCGTCATAGAAGATCAAGGTCACATAGTAACTCCGGACGGGATACGTCTAGAAGACTATTTCTATGACTCTCTCGGCTCGCCGAACATACCTGGTAAACTCATTTTTCATGTTCCGAGTTTGCTGAACCCCACGCTAAGAACATCCTAGAAACCATCCGCGCCTTACGCACTAAACTCGCCGCAGAGCTGCCTTCACATCTCAATGGTGTTATCGACAGATTAATGATTGGAAGATGGCTTTGCGCTGGCATTTCTGGAATTCCCGTAACCCGGAACAAAAAGTGTGACTACGTCGTGCTCGGGAGTGTATTGGCTGGTCTCATCTATGTTCGAGGAACGAGAGCGACGGAAGTAACAATCAGAGCCGACGAGAGCATCGTGGACTTGATCAAGTCTCTCAAGAGGGTGTTGTCGTACGTGACTTGCTACGAAAAACACCCGGAATGCAACCCTGCAGAGCAAATCTCGGAAGCTATGAAGAAGACGATCGATGGAACGAACATACCGTTGAGTTCAGAATGTGTTCAACGAATGAGAGAACAGCGCCAGAAGACTGGATGGCAAGATTGATTTCTTGTAGTTGACAACGGCATTGGAGTCTTCATGGGGATCAGGCATTTGTAAAAGTCTTCACTTGGTCGCGACAATGAGAGCATATGCAATCGGAGAGCACACACTCTCCGCTGGCATCAAAAATTGAGCATGTATTTTTAGATGGGTATCTTAGCGACGATACTTTACGAAGCATCTCGAAAGAGCCAAGATAAAGTCACGGAATATAATCAGTCAGTCTGGAGCTTTCAGACCATCCTTGCACGCGTGCATGATCACTAATGGAGACTGTTTGAGAGTGAGTTGATGTTTTAGCAATTCAAGACAGCGACCCTACTGCGCCGACATTAATTATCACATCAATTGTGGTTATTGGCATGTGCCGGTACAAACAGTCGTTCACGGACTACAGCGACGGTGTCTAGTACTGTCCGCGAAACCACGGTTCGGGGGTTGGGCGTCCCTGGAACCAGCCTAGTACATCTACATAAGCTGCCAAAACCCGTGGCGCTGGCGTGGTGCTTCCATACCTTATGGTAAAGAACTCGCTATTCCCATCACCAAACCAAGTACAAAAGGACCAAGAGATCATTGAAGGGAGCAGTCTTCATTATTCAAGAACTAGAGTCAAACCACACAACGCTTCAGTCGCGCAATATGGCGAGCAAAGTTTTCAAGGCTTCAATGCCAACCAAAACAGCCCCAATCGCCATCATTGGTGCTGGGCCATGCGGCCTCACACTAGCCCGGCTACTCGAGCGTCAAAAGGTCGACTACGTGGTCTACGAACGAGATGAGAGCGCCGCGTCAGCCAATGCAGGTGGGTCGTTAGATATTCACGAGGCGACTGGCCAAGCGGCGCTTCGGAAGGCGGGCCTGTGGGATGCGTTTCGAAAAGAAGCGAGATGGGAAGACGACAGATTCACAGTATACGACAAATTCGGAAAGCGACATCTCGACGTCAAAAGCAATGGGGGAGTCGATGAAGCAGGAAGGCCCGAGATAGATCGCAAAACGTTGCGACAAATTCTTCTGGACTCCGTACCGCAAGAAAAGATCCGATGGGGAAGCACCTTGAAAGCTGTGAAAATGCATCAAGCTGGCTCACCGTCCCTTGAGTTCACCTCAGGTGCGATTGCTGAAGGGTTCAAGCTTGTGGTTGGCACTGATGGTGCTTGGAGTAAGGTTCGCTCGATGGTATGGGATGATTCGCTCACTCTGAATTGCTGCTCGGTGACTAACTATGATTCAGATTACTCAAGCGAAGCCTGAATACTCCGGTAGAACATACGTGGAAGCCCAAATCACGGAAGAAAACCCACTGTTTAAGTCAGTCTTGGACAAGTTCGGGCATGGAACTGCGTCTTTACTGGCGGGAGCAAGCCAAATGATCGTACAGCGGCAGGGAAACGGATACTACAGGGTATACTTCGGGATACAAGCTCCCGAGCACTATGTTGGTAGAGAGCTCGACCCAGCAAGCGTTGATGCTTTACGAAATTCACTGCTGTCCGACTTCTACAGCGACTGGGCAGAGGAACCCAAAGACTACATTCGGCACGCCGACCACTTCCGTAGTTGGCCGTTGTATCACCTCCCTGTTGAAAGCCAGAACTGGTCGACGGTGCCAGGTCTGGCTCTGGCTGGAGATGCAGCTCACTTGGCACTTCCCAATGGCGAAGGCGTCAACTGTGCTATGTTGGATGCGATGGAGTTGGCCAAGAGTATTGAGAACCATGGCCTCGACAAGCTGGAGGACGCGGTTCGGGAATATGAGAAGGACCTTTTGGTTCGGGGTAAAGCTCATATCGAAGACGGCATACAGCTCGGAAATCTAATGTCGCACGAGAGTGGACCGGCCGCCTTGGTGAAGGCTTTCCAGGAGAACGACTTTTGAATCGCACAGCGGCACAACAGGAAAAAGAAAGTGAGCTGTGAGGCACATCTTTTCACGAATGCATCGAGTCCTACTTACCGATATCTCAATCGCTTATTATGTAGACCCTTTTTGTTATTATTCTGGCGATAGAACCAAATGACAACGTTTACTGTCCATGACCTTCCAACAATAAAACTCGGAGTGCCTTGAGGACTTAGGAAAGTTAATAATTAAAATCTTCCTCTTATCTATGGAAATAAGGCGCCTGGTATCTGACCCCTCTCTTCCAGCAATCTCACGCTTGACTACGCCATCGATTCTGTCCGGGCTTACTCTTCCCGAAATTGTTAGTCGGCCCATTCTAAAGTCCGGATTACGCCGGGTTGCGGAGCACCAAGGTCCAAAAAGCCACGCTTGAGATTCCGTCGTCAGCTTGACCCGCGCCTGGGGCAGAGCCCACCTTGCGCACCTCCGCCCGACATCATCGGTCCCCGGTCGTCGCAACTGTCCGAAACCTACTCAGCTCCCCTCTTCACGGCATCGGCCTTGGCACGACACCGTCCGACATTGCAACCATGTCGGCTCCCGGGATAGCAAGCAGCAAATCGGACACCGCTCTTCGAGCAAAACCCCAGCGCGTCCTCGCCTGCGTCCTCTGCCAGCAGCGCAAGATCAAGTGCGACCGCAAGTTCCCCTGTTCGCATTGCACAAAACATCAGCTGCAGTGCGTGCCTGCGACACAGAACCGGCCACGGAGACGGCGATTCCCGGAGAGGGAGCTTCTCGACCGCTTGAGAAAGTATGAGGGCCTACTACGACAGAACAAGGTTGATTTTGAGCCACTCCACGGGGACCTAGGTGCCAGGTATGGGAAGTCTGTCGATGACAGTGGCGGGTCGGACGACGAGCACCGATCCGAAGGCGTGGGAATGCCTTCACCGTCAGTAACTGTGAAATCTGAAACCTCATATGAGCCTAAGTGAGTTACCACCCTGCGACACCGATCAAGCGTTTTCGGCATGCGCTTTTACTCTATTTGGCTCAATCAAACGTAAGATACCATTGTCACTAATTATGTGCAGAAACTTTTGGCATTTGGTGAGCCCAGAGGTACAGTGTCTGTTCTCAACTCAGCCTCAATCCCCATGATTGACATCGTATAGCTCGACGACTCGCATGCTGGCTTGCGAGAGACTATCAGGCAAACGTGGGACCAAGCCTGCGATAGCGATGATCATATTCTCTTCGGTTCCCCAGACCGATCATCCGTCGACCTCTCAACCCTCCATCCCGAACCTGTGCACATCTTCCGACTATGGCAGATTTACCTCGACAATGTGAATGCACTACTCCGAGTGACGCACGCCCCTAGCTTCCAAGCACGCATCATTGAAGCCGTGAGCAGCGTCGAAAACATGAGTCCCGCATTGGAGGCTCTCATGTTCAGCATATACTCCATGGCCATCCTGAGTCTTTCCGAGGATGCGTGTTACGATACTTTCAAGCAGCCCAGAGCCCTTCTCTTAACCAAGTATCAGTTTGGATGCCAACAAGCTCTTTCAAACAGTCAATTCTTGAGAACAAATGACGTTGACTGCCTAACTGCGTTATTTCTATACCTAGTACGTACCTCAACTGGTCAAGGGTCTATAGTATGATCACATTGGCTAACTTCTCACAGCATGCGAGCCGCCCTAACGCTCACATCCGATCAATATCATCCCTCCTAGGCGTCGCGATTCGCATCGCCCAACGCATTGGTCTCCAACACGAATCCGCCAACACCAGGTGTACCATTTTGGAGGCCGAGATGCGTCGGAGACTTTGGTGGTCCTTGGTGCTCTTCGACGCTCGCATGAGCGGGCTCACTGAGCACAAGGCCACCAACTTGACCCCGACATGGGACTGCGCTGTGCCGCTGAACGTCAGCGACTCTGACCTCCGAGCTGAAATGAAGGAACCACCGAGGGCGGAGATGAAAGTTAGCGAGGCGCTTTTCTCGGTGGTGACGGCTGAGCTTGCCGATTTCTCTCGGCACACCGCCTTCTACCTCGACATGACAAACCCGATCTTGAAGCCCATCGCCAAGGAACTTCCTGGTGGCGGCAAGGTAGATTGGTTGGAGAAGTCGGTAGAGGACAAGTACTTCCGGTACTGTGATCTCGAGAACCCGACTCATTTCATGGCCTTGTGGATGTCACGCGCATCCCTCTCAAAACTTCGCCTCATGGAGACATCTCACAGTTTCTACGAGGGTCCGGTTGAGGAAAAGCACAGAATCACGTTATCAAGTGCTTTAAGGTGGCTTCAGTGCGACGCGAAGCTTGCAGCCTCGCCCCTGACCCAGAGGTTCCGGTGGTTTCTCCAGATCTACTACCCTTTCCCTGCCTACATCCGCATCACACAGTTTCTCAAGCTGAACCCTCTGGATCCGAAAGGAGAGTATATTTGGAACGCCATGAGCGATCATTTTGAGGCTCGATTCGAACACCTCGAGCCGGGGTATAATCCCGTCTTTGTCCCATTCACCGAGGTCATCGTACGCACCTGGGAAGTGGTGGCGGCGGCACTCAGGAACTCGGGGCAGCCAGTGGTCCCGCCGAGAATTGTGGCCAAAGTCCAGGAAAAGCTGTTGGAAGTGACACCAGCTTTGAGTCCACAGTCTTCCGATACCGGGCCCAAGGCTGAAGCAATGAACATGAACCCCTATGACTTTAGTGCATCTTTTCCGATGGATATCGTTAGCCAAAGTCTCACTTACGACCAGGGTACCTTCTCGCCAACAGACAATGGCCTGTACCCAAATATCATCGTGCCGGATATACGAAGTATCAACATCGATCAGTTCAACTGGGACTCATTGGACTTGGGGCAAAATGGGCAAGCGACATGATGAGGGCTGGAATTCACATGTACCAAGACAAAGCCGTGGATGTTGAAATCAACGGAGATCACGGCTACTGTACCACCATGGTTGAGAGCGTTAACAGATAGCTTCACCGCTCAATTTCACATAGATGAATGCGCAAGCAAGCGTGCATAATTCAACTCAGCTTTAAACACTCATTGCAATCGTGCACCGGGACATGGCATGTCACTTATTCATAAGTGATGGAGGCAAGGACAATAGCTCCGTCATGGGTCCTTTTTTGGTGTTCTTAAAGATAATTACATGTATGTACAAAGTGCGACAATATATACGTGTCGAATATGTGAACCTGAACACAGTTCAGATTGGGTATGAGGTCCGCACAGCGTTGTTCAGCATGGCTGCAACACGCATTTACTGGACGGTGAGGGTGTAGGCGGAGGTCTTGAAGACGGCGTTGGTGCCGGAGAAGGGCTCGGTACCGGCCTGAAGGCTGGTGATGACGTTGGTCTTGGCAACGCCCTGCTTGGAGGTAAGGTAGGTGAAGAAGAGGTTCAGGTCGCCGTTGAAGCTCTTGATCTGGCTGGGGGCGACGAAGGAGTAGACAGTGGTGTCACCGTTGGGGCCTGAGAAGTCACGTTAGACGGTTGCCATCAGTTGTGTTGTGCAATGCATTACTAACCAGAGTACAGAGACCACTTGGTGCCGGCAATGGTGGGGGTGTCGATGGTCTTGCCAGTGCTGGAGATGGGGCCAGCACCGCCGAGGGCGCCGAGCCAGATCATAATCTCGTACTTGTTGTTGGCACCAACGGAGGGGGCGAGCCAGAGGTCGTAGGCGACATCAGCAACGATGCTGGAGCCGGTATAGCTGTTGAAAGAAGAGTTAGCAAATGTCTAGAATGGTTCATCTTTGAAGTGGTAGTAACTGACCTCCAGGTCCACTTGGAGGGGATGGACTTGACAGCAGAGAGCTGCTTGTTGACCTTCTCGAGGGCAACGTTGGAGTAGGACTTGACCTGTCCCTGACCACCAGCCCAGGTCCAGGAGGTCGACCAAGCGACGGAGCCGGACTTGAGGGACTCGAAGGTGGTGCACTGGCTGCCGGAGGTGGCCTTGGACGCACCCCAGTTGTTGTGGTAGATGGTGAAGCCACCAGTGGCGACGGAGCCGAAGGCGTCGCACATCTTGGTGGCACGCTTGTCGATGCTGACGGGCGTGGGGGAGGCCACGGCCGTGACGGCTAGCATGGCCGAGACGAGGTAGGAGGTGAACTGCATGGTGGGAATTCGGACTAGCTTCAGCTTTGAAAGAATGACTGGAATGAACGAATGGTTACTGCAAAGGTAATAGACAAGAAGAGAATGTGAGTTGTTGGGATGAACAGTAGGGCTGCCAAGAACAGGTTTCCAGGCGGGCGGGTGGCCCTTTGATATACCTACTACATGATACTACGTCAACCGACGGAGAGACTTTTTTCTTTCTTTCCAGAAAACAAACAAGTCCCTCCAATTACGGCGTAGAATGCCGAATGGAACATTAGTGTGCGGCCCAGAACACAGCACATCGAGTGAGGTTCATCGCCTGCGGCCGTGGCTACACGACCGGGATGCCGGAGCTAAGCATCGGACGGAAAGCTTGTTGCGGCCAAGTGGGTGTCCACCGGAGGGGGATGGTTACGGTGGACAATCAGGGGCGGTTTCAACTTGATCACTTTGTCTACCGAAGCAACCAAGCGCGTAAAAGCTGCGGCCACGAGGTGCTCCAAGAAGTGACTCCACCAATAGGCCATGTGGGCAGGTTTAATCTGCTCGTCACCTTTTGCCTTCAGGTAAATAGATTGTATGGTTCAGGGAGGTGTGGCCTGGAGAGGCTAAAAGGAGAACTTGTGAAGGCCCCTTATCCCTGGCTCAATATCCGCATCCCCAAAGCAGAAGGCCAGCGAGCGTTGGAAATGAAAATTTGACTCGTGTTCGCCGGTTTAGGTTCACCATCGATCATGGCCCCAATGAGCATATTGGAAAGCCGAAATCGATTGATTCCCACTGCCATGGGCATTTGGAAATATTGACAGCGCAGTGGCATCCGCGGTCCCCTCGGGCCATTCCGAGGCTCGGCCTGGTCGAAAGCTGATTGCTGCCGTCATTTACGGTTCTTTTCACCACATGGGCGCTGTTCCGCAATCGTATCCGTGCTTCCTAAGCATAAATCATAGCCGTTATAGCCGTCTTCCATGACCGACAACTCCACCATAGTATATATGTGAAGCCGCCCCCGTGTGCTGGATAGACATTGCCACCTGCAGTGTCACTTTATGTAAAATGCGGCGCATGCATTGCTTTTGTCTCACGGCACTTGAGACCCTATTTTAGTGATGAAAGAGAAGATTGCGTCAGAGTGACACATTTGACGGATTGTTTCTAATGGAATGCACAAACGCCTCGAAAGGCATTTTCCTGTTCTCTGCCTGAGTCTGGTGGACGCATGAACATCTAGCTCAGTAGAGAGGTATCGTACCACAATGGTTCTCTCACAATTCTTTATCAATCACAACTAACTGTTTATGTGTAAGCGAATATGCACGGTCATGTGTCATGAACATCTGGATTCCTCAAAAGGCGCCGCGCCAAGATGCAGTCGACCCAAGATCAGGCCGAGCCCGACTCAACGGTGCTCTCCCCAGATTCCCAGGATTCAGATCGCTCGCCTAGGGTGGCACGCAGCGGGCAGCAACCCCCCGGTTCAGGGCAGCCATAAACGGCAAAGAGGCCCAGCTGCCGACATGAGTGCATCCACAGAGCAAGACAAGGGCAACACTGGCCACCTTCGAGACACCCATCACCGCTATCGGGCCATGTTGGGCAGTCGTGTTTTCGTATCCGAGAATGCCGCTTGTCGATGTGACACACCAAATCCGCAGAGGTTTCCGCCTCGTACCAAGGCAGAGTTGACTGGTGGGATTTCCGGGAGCCGCCTCGGCACCAAAAGAATTAGAGTCTGTAACTGGAGAAATAAAGGGGTTTAGCGAAGGGCTGGCGAGTGGGTGGCGCTAAAGTGCCGTCCCGTCCGCTACGCCGAGATTCTCTTCAATGCTCCCCTGAGATGCGAATAATAGAAACGGCAAGTATTAAGAGGTTCAACTCAATGTCAACTCCCCTCTGGGCATAGAATGCACCCGCAGCTTTGCACATCTCTCAACTCGACCATGCGCGTGAAGATCAGGCGGCGGCCGCGGACAGTAACACGATTTTCGGAAAATTGAAGACTTCGTTCATTGTTCTAGCTTATGCCATTGGGACTAGCATGTAACATCCAAGTGCCGACAACCCCATACTCATTTCGCTTAACTCCTGCATGCTGCCAGCACCACGATGCAGTCCACTTGGCCAAACGCAAACGCGCTGAAATTCAACAACACCGGCTGTGTGTTCTAGTGGTCATGATTTCTCGTTCACAACAATGTGAGCCTGATCCGAGAAGGTCGCAGGTTCGAACCCTGCCGCGGTCATAGCAATCCTTTTTGAGAGTCCAGTACTTCTGGTTCTCCGTAGAGAGAGGAAGTTGAAGCTCTCTTGAGATGAATTCCGTAAGAAGATTTCACGTCTTTTGTTCAAGGGCCAAATTTATTGTTCAAGAAACTCATTCCCCACATGCAAGCAAGGCCGAAGCAGTCGGTATGGCCACGAAATGATTGAAGTTGTTAAAAATCAGCGAATGCTCGACTTTTCATTAATAAGACTCGTCCACCAAGAAGCGAGCATATACTATATCAAAATTGACTTTTGGGGACAACAGAACGCAGGGGATGACTCCACGTCCTTTCTTGCATCGTGCAAGACCTTTCGAGCAACGCCTGACCCTTAAAGTCGAAAGAGTCACTGCGCTGGCTCAAAGGCTTATGGTCCAGTTATTTCGCCCTAGGGTTCTGTTAAAATGATTTGCCCGAAGAACAAACAGAATCCTGACCGGTTCGCTTGGAGACATCTCGCCAGGATTGGCGGCACTAAAATACTCAGCAGGCTATGCCAACAGATCGTTCACGTCAACTTAAGCTGAAGCAAACTCGACGTACACAAGAGTCTTCGGCAGATTATTGTGAGGGCAATACTTGGAGATTATGTTGCTGTCCCCGTCCAACTCGTGAACAACTGAGATGTGTAGACGTGACGTTGATGGTCACTTTTGGTGTCGATCAGATCTCTGGCACCTTATTTGAGAGCATTATAGACGAAACATGACCGTAGCAAAGTGTTGAATAAATCGGCCCATCTAGGTTCTTACCGAATATCGCGTTGAAGGGGTGTTGCCGCTGGCCAGCTGGCGAAACAAAACAAAACAATCAAACATGTTCAGGACTCCCTGCGGCTCAAACCTTTACCCACGCTTCAACACCCCAGACAAATGATGCAGCCAGGCGGAATATCTTTGCGTTGTACTAATGACTGCCGGCTTCCATTTACAGATGGCACGGATGATTGCACCTGCTTCGGGGCGGCGCTTGCTGGCACACCCCATAAAATTGGTCTTCAGCCTAGAAGTACAGTTCACGCGAGTTTTGAACACTAGTGTATGATATAACCTTGTAGTGCGAGTACAATTGCTCGATACCGACGTAGTGGATGCCACAATGAAGAGGTGGGTTGGCATCGGCGGAGGGACATGAGTTGCACTGATGTTACGTGTCTGACGATCAAGAGGAAGTGGTGAGGGTGTGTAGCTCTTCACACCTGCCCGTTTCTCAATGCTATGTTTGCAAGAGATTCCAACAGTCATACTTATAGGCGAACTGCGTCAGTTGGTAAAGTAGTGGCCCGGTTGGACTAGGACGTTCGATATATGGCGAACGATGAGAAAAGCCTGCTCTGTCTTGAGCATCCAGTTACACCAACAGTCCCTCACGGCACATCGTGGTCTTTCGGAGAGTTTCAACGTCTAGGTAAAGAATTGTTGTGGCTCTCAGCTATATGTGCATTTTAGTCTGCACGCTTCGAATTTGTGTCTTCCTCCTTGTATACATCGTACTTGTAAGACGAGCCGGGGTGATCGGCCCTCAATCCCTTTTGCCCTTGACCATAAACCTTCTCCCTAGCCGTAAAAGCGACGTCGTCGGCAGGTGCCTCTGGGTAAATTCCACGTCGTCGCAGCTCTGGGATAAGAAGATCGACGACATCCTCAAACGTGCCTGGCGTCGTGACGTATCCCAAGTTGAAACCATCCAAGTCACCTTCACGGATCCAGTACTCTAAGTCATCCGCCACCTTTTGTGGGCTCCCAACCGACACTGGCCCGAGCCCGCCAATCGCTGCCCGCTCAGCAATGACACGAGGCGTCCACTTGGGGACATGCTCGCTGGTCGTCGTGAAGGCATCGAGAATACTGCGCACCTTGTGCGCCTCTAGAGAGTCTGCAGCAGTCACCTCCTGGTCTACAGGGATCTTGGACAGGTCGATACCCGTCCAACCGCTGACGAGGACCAGGCCACCAATGACGGAAGCATACTTCTTCAGTTCCTCGTGCTTGGCCTGGGCCTCTTCATCGGTCCGTCCCACAATCGGAGTGAAAGTTGCGAAGAACTTGACAGACTGTGGGTCTCTGCCGAGAGCCGCGGCCTTTTCCCTGATCTCTTTGACTTTTGGGCGCAGTAGCTTTGGCGAATGCGAGGAGACGAAGATACCCTCGGCGTGTGTTGCCGCGAATTCCGATCCAGCCGCCGATGTGCCTGCTTGGAAAAGGAAGGGGGTTCTTTGGGGGGAGGGGTCAACGATGTGACGTGTATCAAGATCGAAGAACTTTCCGTGGTGGTGAATCGTACGGATCTTGTCGGGGTCGGCGTAGCTGTCGTTCTCAGGATCAGGGGTAATCGCGTCATCTGCCCATGAGCCTTCCCAAAGCCTTTGAAACATCAGTAACTTCAATTATGCTGTTTGAGGATGATTGATCGAAGTACTCTTCGAGAAGAGCTTACTTGTAAAGGACTCGAAGGTATTCGTCTGCCTGAGCATAACGCTCGTCATGTGGAATAGGGCTGTCTAAGCCGATAGCCTTGAAAGCTGCTTTCTTCCAAGACGTGACAATGTTCCAGCCAATGCGACCCCTTGTAAAATGGTCGAGTGTTGAAAACCGCTTGGCGAGAAGGAAGGGTGGCTCAAAGGATGTGGATGCGGTAATGGCGAATGTGAGGTTCTTCGTGACTGCGGCCATGGCACTGATCGGCTGTGTTCCCTTTGTAAGCGGTCGCCTAGCTCTTGTAACCAGAACTTTCTCTTACAATAGTTGGATCTGTCATTGGCCATTGGGCTGCTCGGCGAATGCAGTTGTCAAGGCTTCCTTCGTAGGTATCGTAACCTCCATAGGTGTCAGCAAGGAAGAGGGCGTTGATGCCACCTCGTTCTAAGAGCTTCGCGAGGTCGATCCAGTAGTTTAGGTCGCGCTTTGTTGCTGACTTGTCGGCAGGATTCTGAAGCAGCGAGATCTAGTAAATAGGTGCTCATTCGAAAACGTCTCAAAGAGACTACCAACCTTCCATTGTCCAGGCGACAAGTGTCCGACAGTAGACATGTCAAATGCATTGAGCAAGATTTGTTTCTTCCCTTCTGGCTTGAAGCCATTCTCGCCATTGGTTGTGTGAATCGGTACCGAAGTCATTTCGAATGTCTGCTAAAGAGTATCTTCAAGCTGAGGCTTGCACTCGTAACTTCAACATAGCCCCGCGGGCTTGCCTCTTTTTATTAACCCTTCTTCATCACGAATCTCTTCAACTTGGCGCAGGATCGCGATGCAAGGAAGTTGCCCAATCCCCATGTCGTCATCGCCGTTGTCGCCCGCCTCGTGGGACTGGCGCGGGATGTTATCTGCACGTTGACCCCAATTCAATGCCGCCGGTACAGGGCAGAAACGCTGGCGTGATCGCGGGTGTGGATGGTGCCATCACCCGTCTTCCGAGCCCGACGACTTCATTACGTTTCGGAGCACAACGCCGGCCGTCTGGACCCTTTGGACTCAGGAGGCGTCGGGTCGGTAAAAAACGACTCATGATAACTGGTTGTTGAGCCGACGAATGCCTCACCCATAGTATGGCCGGTAGTTCAGGAGGCGCATCTCCGCAGCGGGTCGCAATTCGTGCTGATGCTACGATGTTGAAGAAGGCCGTGATAACCACGCCATATTTGCTAATGAAATTTTGCAGATTCAATTCCTGAACCTCAGAAAGTGAGTGTTCTGCCAAGGGCTTTCACGGTCAGATTCCGTGAAACACTATTGGAGCCATGTGGGGGGTTGAGGAAATATGCCCAGCACGTCAGATTCAACATGTCTCGATGTCAAGTTACATGTCGAGGCTGGTATACGCTTTGTTTCTAGTTTTTAATAGCCCTTCAAGCGGGGAAGGTCATCGTCTACTTGGATCATTATGCACTGCTTCAATAGAGCAATGTACGAAGCGGGGTTCTCCTGAGAAGTCCATGATACATCAACACCAAATAAGAGGATCGATTGCACGGCCTTAAGGCAGTCTTGGATAATTATTGTGTACCTCATGAACTTGAAGTTTGAATAGTCTCCATGAGTCACTACTACATTAACGATGTGTCTAGTCGTTTAAGTAGAACGATCGACTTTTGGTTGGCACATGCACCTAACATCATCTGGTTGAATTCCAAAATCTTCCTTCAGTCGCTTCTGTCATCTCTTCCACTGACTGCAACTGGTGGCTGCTTGCCGTGTTCAATGGTTGAGATGTCTTCGTGATCACTTTCAGGAAATCCACTAGAATTTTCGAGTTGAGGACTGTTGGGTAGGCAGTCAGCGCAAACAGTCCCGACTGCGTATGAAGGATTGGATGAACTTACTCTCTGCGCTTGACGTACATGCGCAAGATATGTGTCGCGATAATGAGAAGAATGGCACAGGCCAGGGTGAACGCAAAGCCCTTGGGGTACCGAGGTGCCTCGACTGTAGGGAAGACCAAGAGCGGGGTCCATGCAGTAGAAGACTGTGAGATGGCGTTGATGAGGACAAGTGTGAAGGATCTTTCGGCCGGTGACGACCGTAATTGTGTGTTCACCCAACCATGGAACACACTCGACAGTGCAACGGAAGAGTAGATGGTCGAAAATGCGAACCATTTAGCAGGTTCCGGGACGTTCCAGATGGTCAAGATGAGAAGCCCCAGGGCGTTCCAAGCACTTGACATCGTGATTGCCCAGGCCGGTCCCATGACGAGATCCGATGCGAAACAGACAAACAAGGTGTAGAAGATGCCGAGGGCAGGCGCAATCGTACCAAGTTCGTTCACCTTGGCTGCCGAATAACGACCGAGACTCTTGATCCAGAGCAAGAAGCTACCCGACGAGGTGTGAATGCCCGCGTTCCAGAAGAGAACGTCGACCACAATAATACCCCAGAATTGCCACGAGAAAAAGACTTTCTTCAAGTTGCCGAATTTGAATTTTCCGTGAGATGAGTGACCTGCGCGCTTCAGTCTCTCCACGCTAAGTTCGATATTCTCTC